GGTGACGGCGCAGCACTCAGTCTTCGCCATGCAGCTGCTGCTCGGCCTCCTCTGCCTCCTCGGCGCCGGGGCGCTCGCCGCCATGCGGGTCCCGGACACGAGCACCCCGCCTGAGATCCGCCCTGGTTGACTCGCTCTTGCCTCCCACCAACGGCAGCATCGCCGTGTTCGGGGGCCTCCGCGACGTCGGCGACCACGTCAGCGAGCTCGCTCCGGGGCGGCCCAGGTTCCTGGAGACGAACGTAACGCGCCTCCTGTCCGCCCGCAGTCACGCCCGCTTCGAGCTCGATAAGACCATCCTCGTGGGCCTGGTCGTCTTCCGGACCGGCGAGGAGCTCGTCGAGTACGCGACGGCGCACCAGCTCCCGCCCTCGATGCGCCTCGTCCTGTGGACGTGGGCGCCCTCGCCCCGGACCGTCCTGGCGCTCGCCCCCGACAAGCCCCTGTGGGTCTGCCACGCGCACGTAACGCTGGCCGTGTCCATGCCCAACGGGACGACCACCCTGCACTCGGCCGTCACCGACGGCTGCCAGGTCAAGTGGCAGCTCCTCGGCATGTCGCCGCTGGACTCGTGCTCGACGGGCGCCTCTGGGTGGCGCCGCCCCAACGGCCACCCCACGTCCGACTGCTCGGCGTGGGGGCCGCGCCCACACAACTCGCCGCCCGTCGTGTACCTGGAGAGGCCGGACCCACCGAACGAGCAGTACAGGGAGTTCGTCGGCAGCCTGGTGAGCGCGATGCACCCCCCTGTCCGGACCGAGTGGGTGAGCGCGAGGGTGTCGTACCGCGTCCGGAGCGACCTGGCCGCCTGCAACCTGAGCGGGCTCGTCTCCTACGGCTCGTCCACCCCCATCTTCCTGCCTCACTTACGCCCGGAATGGAGAATCTTGACCAACGTCGTCGTGGTGGTCCCCGTCGGCCGCGGGCCGAGCTTCAGCCTACTGAAGGCCGTGACGGCCGAGTTCTCCGCCGAGCTGTGGATCGCGTCGGCCGCGGCCTTGCTCGCTATGACGCTGGCCCTCGCTGCGGCCTCGGCGTGCCTGGGGCGGCCGCGGCTGCCGGCCGCCCTGGCCGTCGCCCTCCTGCAGACCCTGGCGCCACTCCTGGGCCAGCCACCTCAGGGCAGACCCGCGCACCGGCCCCTGTCCGCCGTCTGGCTGCTCATGAGCGTCGTGCTCGCGGCCGCCTACCAGGGCCTGCTGCTCAGGGAGCTCACCGCCCCGCCGACCGAGATCAACAGCCTGGAGCAGCTCGAGCAGAGCGGGCTCGAGGTGCTCTTGTCCGAGAGCCTCCACCCACACCAACACGTCGTCGTGCCCACTCTGCACTCCGGGGCTCGCTTCTTCCCGTACAACTCCACCGTCGCGGTCCTGCGGCGTATTGCAGACGACCAAAACTCTTCCCTGGTCGGCCACTTCGACCAGCCGCTTGGGAATGCCTTGGTGCAGCTGACGCGTGAACAGAGGGGGCGCCTGCACATGTTCCAGCTCCCGGGCCGCCACCTCCGGGCCTACGCCTGGGGGTCGACCAAGTCGCCGCTGGTGCTCAAGGCACTGCACTCCGTCTACCTGCGCTCCAAACAGGCCAACCTGCTCGCACACTACTTGCACATGAAGGCGGTGTTTTTGGACCAGCAGAACCTCGGCCGCGACCACAGCCACATCGTCCGCCCGCTAAGCCTGGGCCAGCTGCAGCCGGCCTTCGTGCTGCTGTTCGTGGGCAGCTGCGTCTTGAGCACGATCGTCTTCGGCCTGGAGGTCCTGTGCCACCGGCTCACCGAACGGCATGCCCTCGCTCGGCGGGCGGCGGCGTCCCGCGCCCGGAGACTGGCTTGGACCTAGAGTTGCAAGAGCCGAAGGCGAAACATAGTTGTTGGAAAACAACACAGTTCTTGGAAAACGACACTGTTGTTGAAAAATAACACTACTGATCGACAAAGTTCGTGTTTGCAGTTCAGCGACGACGCTACAATTATTATTTTTCTCCCAAATGTAATGTGACAACTGTCTTTTGCATGTTTAAGTCATCATGATGAATGTGAGTATACGGCTCTAGTTATACGCTGAACCTTGCGAGGAAAGGTTATCACATTATCTTGACTTCGTGTTTCTGCTAGTTTATTTCTCTTATAATAATCAATCATTGCATGTTTGTGTTAACAATAAAAAGTAGTGTCCAGAAAATCAATTGAAGACGAGTTATGATTGTTGATACTGGGGGAACTTTCTCAACAGAAACGTTACAAACAGCTGTGTACGTGTACGTTTCTTCTCGAGTTTCTTCTAAATTTCTTGTTTGTTTTTGTTGGTTTATCTTCAGGTTTACCTGTTTACGTGGATTAGATTTTTGTGTCGTATTTGAAGTGTATACAAACTAAAATCCTATGAACTGTTTTACTCAACTTTCTGATATCTGTGTGCGTCGGTTTCATAATTTTTAATACGCCAGTATGAAGAAATTTGGTCTTACTGGCGTGTAACAAAACTGAGTGCGTCAGCTTAAAGCTCGCACACAGAAATTAGTGAGCTGTTAATAAAAAAAAACATAATATTGTAGCGTGTAATTTGTAGTACTGGTCCTGTGATTTTCTGTCTGTATGTTTTACCCGTGCGTTTAACAACTCAATGTTTCGAAATTTTTATAGTAAGATTGCTCTGGTAATGACAATGAAGTATCCATCTTCTAAGCAGTATAGCATACGAAGCATTCGCGACTTTTCCACCGTGTTAAAGAAAATGTGCGTTTTTTTCACTTCCTTTATTCACAGTACTAAATAAAACGAGCGTGCCAGTAAATTCTACTTTATTTTTCTTCAGATATTGTTCACATCTCTTCTGCCCCTTACATATCCGTATTACTTGGTCTTATAGTAACATACCTAGTCGATCATAGTACTTGTACATTTTTTATTTTTTGCCTAGTATGGTGACCTGCATTGGCGATAAGAAACACGCGTGGTTTGACAACGTCATCTCGTGGGTCATAATGGCGCGCGCGCGCGTGTGTGTGTGTGTGTGTGTGTGTGTGTGTGCGTGTGTGCGACAAGACGGGTGGGGGTAAGGAAGGGGGATAATGCAGAACCTCCTGGGGCCTCCTAGGAGCACCTTCCCTCTCTCCCCCTTTCTCCCCCGAGCGACCGGGGGCGGGGGGAGAGGTCTGGTGTTTTACAGAAGGAAGATTAATTTACCTCTTAAAGCAGATGAAACCGGGGAGGGGG